CTCTCTCTCTCTCTCTCTCTCTCTCGCTTTCTTGTTTAATAACAATTTTTATATAACTCGAGAGATATTTTATTACGATGAAACTTCGGTTCCTCGAATATAATTCTCTTTTGTTATTTTTAATAATTGTAGTAATTGCGGAATTTTGCGAAAACGCGATTTTCTTTAGCGACGCATCGCCTCTCGAATGTTTCGCACAAGTTAATTGATGTGAACTTTCCGAGTCGCCTGATCGCGCGAGGACTCGAAAACGCGAGCAAACAATCCGAACTAGTAGTCTAAGGAGAAAAAAAGAACTGTAACATAGTACCTCTAGCACGCTTCGTGTAACCGCAATCACCCGATAAATTAACACGCCGACTAATTAAATTCCCAATTGAATTTCCTTAATTAAACCCCACGCTCGGAGAAATTTGTATATAAGAACGGAGCGGCGGCGGCAGCGGCTACGACGACGCACGATGACGTGCGTTTAGCTAATTAACGGTTAAGAGTGTAAAACGCGCGCATACGTGTGTGCGTGCGCGTATGTGTGAGTGTGTAGGTGCGTGAATGTACAAATAGCGTAAGTAATCAGCTGTTTGCAACTCAAAACGGTGCTCATCTAAACGCGAAAGTGTGTAGGCGCGCCCAACCTGAAATTACCGCTGACAGGATCGTCGGAAGACGAAGAAAGGATTGGTGTTTGACAGGACGAGGCGAGGCGATCGAAGGACGGTTCATGGCGTAATCGCGGTGTCGTCGACATGTGTACGAAAAGAGACAAAAAGGAGAGAGCAGATACTTCGAAGGCGGAAACCCTCTGTCCTCTCATTGCTCCTGCGACAAAATGGCATGTAAAACTCGCCGCGCAATAATTAAAGAGACACGATCAGTTTCTTCGCATTATCCTCTGATTACCTTTGACGCGGGACGCGTCGGACGTTGTGTTTTACTACTCCCTCTCTGCTGAATGTTCTTTTCCCCCTTCTTCTTTCCCTGTGATAATTTTCGAAGCGATAAGAATTTTTCCCACAAAATCCACAGAGAAATCCACGCTGAGGAGATTTACAAAGTGACCGCACTTCAGCATACGGAAGTTGCGGAGTGCTTACAGTTTACGCGGACCTCACAACGAGAATACGAGCGACACGAAGACGTACGGAGCATAGCGACTGTGAATTCTGATTATGCGATGGTGCCGCGACTAATCCCGGTTGCAATCGCGAATTCTGGATACTGTTGCGCCGCACAATATTCCGGTCTGACAATCGCAGAAGTAAATGGAGTAAGATGATACGTTACATTGCCCGAAATAATTAATGGTACTACTGTGTGAGATGTATCGCACGATCCGGAATCTCAATCCAATTGAACAATCTTCCTCTAAATAAATAAATTATTCGAAAATCTTTGAGTTTTTTTGAGTGGAATTCCACTCAAAAAACAGAATGACAGCCGGTGTCGCGCTCGAATAATTTTCTCGTTCGCACGGGATAGCGAGCATGTAAGTTTTTCCTAAAAACGGAAACATGAAAAGTTTCACGTGAACTCGACGACTTTAGCGATCGTGTAATATCTCAAAGAATGAAAGTGTGAAAATTTTCACGTGAAACTTTTCACTTCCCACGAGTTTACGCTAGAAGAAAGATACATGATCGATACCAAGAGTAAATTTTTCCATTTTGCATCGTCCAATACCCAAAATAAGAAAAAATGGTTACAATAATCCATATTCAGTCTGCAATAAATCCAATTAACCTCTTGATTGTTGGACGAAAAAAATGCTTGTATGGGTCAAAAGCTTTTGATAAAATAATTAATAGAATTATAAAAAAGTTACTTTCGGAGGGTTTTCTGAATTGCTAAATTTGAATTTTAGATCAAAATTTCAAAATTCAGAATGTTAGATTCAATGTAGACAGACATATAAATATTGTTCGATTCGTTTGTATTCTTGAAGCTGCTATCTTTGAGTTCAAAATTAAAATTTTTTTATTAGAGTAATCCAATATAACAACGAAAAATAATTAAAACTCCTCAAAATTAATTTTTGTGCAAATTGAATAATATTTTAAATTTTTTGCCCATCATATTGAATTTGCCATTTTGAATTCGAGAATGTTTATTTTGAATTTAGAATCAGGGGTTTAAAAAACTCTAAAATTTCAATTTTTATATAAATCCAATGATTTTTTAATTTTCAGTTTACCATATGAAATCCGTTATTTTGGATTTCACAATTTTGATCTCACATTTGAATTCAGCGATCCCAAAAATAAAAATATAGTATCTCGTTCTAATTGTATAAGTATTTTTTTTTTAAATGTGTGGATATTTCCGTCATTTTTTATCAATTTACTTTTTGCAGATATTTCTATCATTGACAGTCAAGAGGTTAAATAACTTTTCTCTGAAATAGTCGAATTTCTCTCTAAATTTCTCGAAATGAAATTCCACTAGAAAAACAGGGTGACAACCATATGATCTAATCAGTCGTAAAGGACTGATTTAACGTTGCTGAACTTCGTGATATTTAATGAACTCAAAGTTGCTGTGAAGTTTACGCGTATCGGTCCATCGGGGTCCCCACGATTGTATTCAGGCCACGCAACCGCGCAGATTCCGATACGACCGTACGATAACGTCAATGTCGAACGAAGACGCGCCGGCACACGAACTGTACAATGACACGGCACAATCGCGCGATCATATCGCGCAGCCCTGAAATTGCAGATCGCGTCCTGTACATGCGATCTCACTGGGACGCTGGGGACGCGGTCGCGGAATACGCCGGACGTGTTTGCCGAATCGCATCGGCACGACCTGTCGTCCTTTGTCCGCACGAAAATAAAGAGGCCGATTTCGGCATTTCGCGCAAGCGTGGCCGCACACGGTCCCCGCGCGTCGCGCTGTATCGACGCGTCGGAGTAGTATATCGTAAGTACGGACGAATGATGGACACCAACACGGGACGACGTGAACGCGACCCCATCGGCTGCCCCGGCCACCCAATCAGAAAATCAATTGTGGACGTCAACGCCACGTTAATCGTCCGACCGACATTCACCGTCGTTCCGCTAATTATTTAGTTTTCCATCGTTCGCGCGGCTTGTAGCAATGCGACCCGTGGAACACATTTAAACGTTACCCACCAAACAGAAAGCTACATTTCATCCCTTCCTCCCTGCCTCCCCTCCTCATTCCCGCCAATTGTCGCCGGGGAAAGAATGAGCCGAACGGGTCGCGCGACGCCGCAATTTACATTGTCGATTAATTCTCGATCAATAAACGGTGATTTTCTTTTGGCAATGCCAACACACGAATAATTCATCGGCGAACTCGGTGATTTCTCCCCTTTTACCTACCGTGAATTTTGACCTCGGAATTCTCGTTTCGATGTGTAATGCCAATAAAAGATAGCTCGAGGAGGAGAAATTCCTCAGACAGGAAATTTGCGAACTAAACTGTATACTCTTAGGTATTCAACCAACAAGAATTAATTTCGACCAATAAGAGCTGCGCAAAGAAGTAAAAGATGTATAATGCTAATAACAAATAGCTCGAAAGAGAAATTCCTCGGGAGAGAAATTTTTAAGCTAAACGTATACTTTCAGATATCCGACCAACAAGAATTAATTTTAGTCTATAAAAACTATGCAAGGAAATTTTCATAAAAGATATGTAATGCGCTGATAAAAACTAGCTCGAGGGAGAAATTCCTCAGAAGAGAAATTTTCGAGATAAACGAAACTGTATATTCTCAGGAATGCAACCAACAGAAATTAATTTTGGCCAATAAAAATCGCGCGAAAAAATATTCGTAAAAAGTGTGTAATGTTAATAAAAAATTAGTTCGAGGGGGAGGGAGGGGAAATCCCTCGGGAAAGAAATTTCCGAACGAAACTGTATAGAGGCTGTCAGATATTCAACCGACAGGAATTAATTTCGGCCAATAAGAGCCGCGCAGAGAAATTTTCGTAATATGAATGATAATGAGATGCAATATATCTCTCGAATCTGGGAAAAGCCACGATTAGTGTCTCTCTGGCAGCTATTATTAATATAATTAAACCGTTATTGATATAATTAAACTTAACGCGCTCGCGTGTGCGGCACGTGCGTTATCTCTCGTCAGTGTGTGAACTTTACCAAAATCGATCGAGATTAAGCGGCCTCGCGAGCTCGCGACATCTGGATATACGCTCGAGTTCGCAAACTCGACGAAATCCTCCCCTATCTGACGCTGCAGCCGGAACGACATTAACTATGCTCACTCATTAACGCGGCGCGCAAGCTACGTTCCCTCGATAAGACTCGCGATTGGATCCTCACAGGATTCCGAGGACGCGCTCGTCCCCCCGTCGCGTGCCGCGCGCCAAACTTGAAGAACCTAATTACCAAGATCGTTAACGGCGGATATGCAGGCCGCGGGAGCCTGAAATATAAACGCAATGTGCGCGCGACACATTATGTACATTTAATATTTAAGTTAAACGAGGCTATAAAATATTTATTAACATAGTATTTTGTATGTTAATCAATCCGTATCGCGAAATGCATACACAATATGAAATTAAAATGAAACAAATTGCGAATGAATATTAAATGATAACCGCGAACATGCACACACACACATACATACATACACGCGTGTCAGCCGCGTAGGAAAATCGATATTTCGAAGTTCGGTATTTCGCGTTCATATACACACACATTCGGCTATACACTTTGTATACTCGGCGATGCCGCGGCGCGTCTTCCGATACCGTTCATACATTCGTCCAGCTCTCGTCCGCGCTAATTTCTTCAGCAAGCAGCGGCTTGAAGCGGTAATGCGAGGTCTCCCGCGGAATTGGCGTAATTGGCAATCTGCACAATTAGTTCGTGTCTCCCGTCGAAGGGAAAGACTAATCGTCGCAAGCCCCGTGGGGCTGAATTCTCCATTAACCCTTAAACGAGACGCTCACTTACTC